GGGAGGTGGCGGGGGTCTCCTGGGCAGAGCTAAAGTGGTGAAGTTTTTGAAGGTGTCGCACATGAATCCTGATTTAGATAAGAGCAATCATCTCTGTTCTATTTTAGTCCACCGAGCAAAATCGGGCGTCTGGAATATAGCTTGCACCACCATCACTTTGGTTGTGATCAGTCACAGTGTTATTTTTATAGCTCATGGCCTAAATATCTGCAAGGTCAATTTTCTCTCTCATTTTGGGCTGTCTCAGTTTAAATTAAAGCATACTCATCAAATTCTCATACACATGTTTCTTCCTTTTCCTGACACTTTTCAGGTCTTTGCGTGAAACCAGAGACCCAGACTGTAACTGCTGTAACCTGACAATTTGATGTGAAATGGAGAGCATTACACAGTTGTTCAATGATTTGTGTGAAGCGCACTTGACAGGTTTGCCATGGAAAGTCCACCTGGGCAGGCAGAAGATCAGCAAGAGAAGGGCTAAGCAAAATCTGAAAAGGGTTGCTTATAATGCCCTGTTCATAAACCTTTTCCAAGATGAGGCTCGTAAGCTGCAATCAAACGTTTCCAGGCTTCCAGTGAAAAACAAAATTTTGATGCTATCTTTCAACTTGAGAGTTGGTGGCCTAGGTGCTCAGGCGGACAGACTAGAGAATCTTGTGGAGGAACTGGAAACAGCTGAATGTTTACCATTTACTGAAGTTAATTCTGTCTTGGATCTCTTAGTACAGCTTGCTGGAACAGGTCCTCCTCAGCTTGTACCACAAAAAAAGGACTATTTTCTGAACAACAAATATGTTGGGAGAAATGTCAAATACCAGGGTTATGATTATTATGATGTAAGTGTATTTGAGGCCGATATACAATCCCTAATAACAAATGAAGAATGTCAGTTCAATGACACAATTCAAAAGACGCTTCAGATAATGGAGGCTGCACCTGGCACTGGACTCCCTGCCATAGGGTTGTTCTCACAGAACTATCCTGCTGGTGACAAGTTTGAGAAAGAAACACGTGTGTCTCTCTTCGGTGCTCTTGTCCATAGCCGTACGTATGATATGGACATCAAGTTGGATTTACCACCAGTGCCTGACAATGCAGATTTGTCTGGACTTGCAATTAAAGTATGTTACCATTTGTTTTGGTCTTGAGAGTGTATGCATGCTTTCAATATGCCGCTTTAAACGTATAGTTAAACATACAGGTAGTCATTAAGATGAAGCAGGGATCCTTTTCTTTGCTGAGAACCAGATAAGCTTTTTGGGTAGAGATGTATGATAATCAAAACCTTGGTCTTGTCCTATAACTGTAAAAAAAATCATGTGGCCGTTGGCTTTATGAAATTAAGCCATCAGCTATATCTGTGCTTTCCTTACCCTAGTAGTCTTTTGCTTGCATTTTTGCCTGCTTTGAATATTGAACTCCTTTGCATTGTCACTTACTTGTTACTGTTCTGCCCACCTGCATAAGCATTCCTGTCTGAATGTATGTATCTTGCTGTTCAGATTACATTACCTGACTTGTATTTTCTTCTTGTCTTGTTGTATCTTAAAACATTTTTTAAGCTATATTTCATTGAATCTCCTAGTTCCTACTGTCCTTTTTACCTTTTCAGTGTGTACAGTTTCTACTGTATCTACATAGCACAAATAAACAGTGCTATGTTTTCTTCTCATAGAGGTATTAGATAAATGTGTTGGGGTGATTTCTGTCTGTCTTTCTGTCTGTCTGTCTTTCTGTCTGTCTGTCTTTCTGTCTGTCTGTCTGTCTTTCTGTCTGTCTGTCTGTCTGTCTGTCTTTCTGTCTGTCTGTCTGTCTTTCTGTCTGTCTATTTTTACTGTGTGTAGGTAGTTTTTTTTATACTTCTGTAATTTCAATCCTCATTTTGGAATTCCTTTAACTCAAGAGTCTTAATTAAGACTAGAAGGCAGAGACATTAGAAAAGAAAACCCCTGTGCCATTCAGTGTGCTCATATGGATGTGAGTCCTAACTGAGGGGAGGCAGAACTTTTTTGAGTAAGTGACGTACTCTTTCCATCAGACTGGAAAATTTGCAATTTCTTGAAGAACATGTGGCTTTTTATGTGGGTGTGATTGTCTTTTACTAAAATTGAGTACTGTTCTGCACATGCAACTCCTGTTGAGTGGGAGTTGAGGATGTGGCATATACACTGTTTGGACATATGCAGATTTTCTGCATATGAATAAGCATAAGGAAGAAAACTGTGTTAGTCATAGTTAAAAAAATGTTTGCAAATTTGAAGAATTAGGACCTGGATCATTTGCTGAAATGAAATACTGAGCAGTATGGTTTTGTTAGTGTTACATATTGTTGAGTATCCAGACCTCAGATTCTCAGAATGTGGAATTCTATGCTTACCAAAGGAGTAAGTTTCAAGTTTAACACTGACATATATTATTTTGATGGTGATTGTTGCTGTATGTATAGGCATTAATACCTGTAGAGACATCAAATGAAAAAAGTGCTTACAGAAAAAAACTTAGAATAAAGGGAGAGGGGACAACACAGGTTGAGTCATGTGGAGTCACTCGATCACAAATAGCAGAACATCTTTGTTATTAGCATATGTTTCTTTAGTAAAATGTTTTCATGTATAACATTTGAACTCTCTCTGACAGGTTCCCCAAAGTATAGACCAGTCAGAAGATGAGGGATTCCAATCAGCATCCAATCTGACTCCCGATTCTCAGTCAGAGCCAAGCATGACTCCAGACATAGACTTGTGGGATGCAGTGCTTACATATGGACCCAGCAAACGAAGATGTTGGGAAAGAATTGGATAGTATGTGTCTAATGTTACTGGCAAACTTACAATCATATACAAATGTATGAAGGTGCATTTTTTGTCTTAGTTCCAAATTACATCAGTATAATGAAATGTGCATATTTAATTCACAGAATTCAATATACTGTATCAATGATTGAGAAGGGAATAAAGGTTGTGCGGTTTCAACAAACTGCTTAAGTTGCAGTTGTTTCATAGGAAGAGATAAAACAAAATCATCATTGCCAAAAACACTGAAGGCATTATGGGAATACTTGTTTGTGTGAATTGCAACGTTTTTCTAACTAATCTGACTTCTTATGCACTATGCAATTTATCTCAGTCTAAAATGATTGATTCCCTGTTTTCAGTTTCAAAAGAGAAAGTGGTAGTTGTATAGCACTAGAATAATTAAACCTGTATCTTACAATATTGTATTCCTTTTCTGTCTGTAACCAAACCAGAAATTTCTTAATGGTCTAGTTAGGCTTGTAGTTCTTCTAGTTGAGTAGAAGTTGCATCTCCTGAGAGAAGGCTCTAGATAGCCCTGTTAAAGCTTCCTAACTTCCCCAAAATGAAAGAAAAAAAAAAGGCAGGTATGGCAGGTATCTTCCTTACATTCGTGATGGACAGTGGTGTGCTTGACTGATTCTTGGAGAAACTTTGTATGTTTTCTGTAATTTTAAGTAATAATCTAGTGATGTGTCTGTTGCAGTGCTATACAGTGTTTTTTCAGCTCTGAGCCTGAGAAGCTCAGAAAGTCAGAAGTTCTCTGACCTGATTTTTCGAAGCCACTATAGCACATTCTAGCTTTGTTCCTAGAACAAGACAGTTTTTCTTGCTACCATTTAGACTGTAAGGATCTTACAGTCAAATATAGACCATATACCTGACAGCTTTCATGTAGCATATGCTACTAGAATTCAGAATTTTGAAGAACTGGAAGGAGAAATTGTTTTGGAGGGGATAGTAGTCCTTACTGGGAAGAGCCAAAATGTGTTAATAATAGCATTTTGACCATATTGCTTTTTAACATATTTGAATATCAGTATTATATGGACCCTGAAGATCTGGTATATATTGACCTAATTTTTCTAATGTGAAAGCTGCATCAGGGAAGGCCACAAAAGAAGCTGGTAATTCTCTGTCAAGGTTTCTGTCTATTAACTGATGTCTGAATTATCTACCTATTTCTTCACTGTACTGAGTTTGGGCTACAGTGTCATTGACTGTATGCACATTCTCTTGAAAATGTACCATATTACTAGTAGCTTTTTCTGTGGTCAATACAGGCTGTGTAAAATTCTGAAATGCCTTTTTTTCTTTAGGAGATGTATTTCCTTATTTTCATATAATCACCTTGTAATGTTGTGTTTACTCTGACACAGCCCACCTGGTAAAAAAGAGGAACCATATCTTACTGAAG